GAAACGCGCGTAAGGAAGCGCCAGCTGCGCTTCGAGGCTCGCGTGGAGAAAGAGCGCTTCGGGTCACAACGCATCGAGGGGGGACGTGCTTTTGAGCCCGTGGGGACTGATTGCTGTACCTGTAGTAATCCTCCTTGCAGTAAATGCTGCCGTCCTTGGCAAAGCAGGTGAGTTCTGACTCCAAAGCCAGTTTACATTCACAGCATTTAAGACACCTGAGGTGCCATTGTTTGTCAACAGCCAGCAGGTAATATCTGTCTGAGATCTTCCCTCCACAACCAGCACACAAAGCAGGCTTCTCGGGGCTCATTGGGGGCATGTTCTGCAAAACAACCACACCACAAGGGGATGAGGAGACAGGAAGAGAAGGACAGGCAAGGCCGGCCAGGGGACGGGATCTTGTGCTGGGCCCGGGGCTTGGACAAAGAGGCTGCTCCCTGGGACCGAACTCCGCTCCCGGCGGGAAGTTCGGGGGGGAACCGGGACGGTCCCCGCTAGGGAAGTATTTGCCGTGCTTCAGCTTTCGTGTTTATCCCATTAAACCTTTCCTAATGTCATTTCAATCTGTGAAGGCAACTGATTAGGCCTCAGGAAGAAAAGCAGAGCCCATTCTTTTCTGGGGTCCCGGAGCTGAAATCTATAGCTACCCCGTTACTTCGATGTTTTAATCTTAGAGCCCTCCGCAAGAACGGCGTTTTAAAGTACATGCTAAAACACCGTTCTGCTGCAACAGAGGTTTAAGGCAGTGGGTGCTGGTTTGCACCAATTTTCCAGAAAATTTTTGCGCGTGCTTAAACCATCCCGAACCCCATCACTAAAGAAAACCAGGCCATTTAAAGCAGAAGTGAGGGAAACCAGACAGGTGAACGGAGTAAAGAGCGGAGAGCGCGAACGCTCACCACTCCGGCCAGCGGCGTGGGCAAAAAGGTGGCAGAGGCTGGTTCCAGCTGAAACTAGATCTTCTCATCAGCAAACTTCTGCAAGTTCCCGTTAATCTGCTCCCCGCGAGGAGTGTCGCTCGGGACAAAGGCAGACGGAGGGACGGCGGAGACAAAAGCTCTGCCGTAAAACTTGGGACAGTTTGCTGATTAACTAACCGAGGGGGGGGGGAATAAAAATCCTGAACGTCTTCTAAAGTCGCAACTGTTTTAAAGCGGCACCTCCGCGTTCACTTTCCAAGCTGAAGTTGTGTTCCTCACCTCCCCCCCCCTTTTTTTTTTCAGCAATTGAAAAGGCGGGTTGCATTTACATTGCAAATCCTCGTATAACAAAGCGGGAGTTTATTTAAGAGAAAGGGGAAGGACCCTACGGCTAAAGCTTTAAAGCAGTTTTTCCAGGCCGTTACTTTGTGTGCAGAGCCCTGTGCGCAATCGGCGGAAGCCCTACAAGTTGGAGAAAGGGAGATCTCGCTTTGCACAGAACACAGCGTGACACTCGGTTTCTCCGCCGTCCGTTAGCACATTTCTGCAGACTTTGGTCCTTTGAGTAAGAAAAGAGGAGATGTAACTGCTGAGCAAAGCAGTCGGCGGGCGTAACATTCAGAAAGAGCGGTGCCTCTTTGTATCAATTCCACACTTCAGACTAAAAATGGTTACGAAAAGTAAGCGGTCGCGGTTTGCGGTTTAATTTCGGAGGTGCCAGGAGTGGAAGAAGAAAAAAAAACAGTAAAGTACACCTCAGAAACTCCAGCTGCAGCCGTGCTCGGACGGGGCAGAGCGGCTGCAGAGAGCCGAGCAGGGGCAAAAGGCGGCCGCGCTGAAAAACCGGGCTGAAAACCCGTTCCTGTTAGGATCAAAAATACTTTTCCCCGTTACTCCAGGGAACACAAACAACGACATTGATTAGAGAAATGTATAAGTGAGCCTAGTCAGCACAGCACCCAGCATTACGAGTGGGTTACAGGCAGCCTCGGAGGAGTTTCTACAAGCAAAGGGTGGCAGGGAAGGGGCAGGGGAAAGCGGCGTCTTTCTCTTCCCCTAAGCCAGGGGCTGTCCCGGTGCGGGTCCATGCTTGCAGAGATCCCCTTTCAAAGAGTGCCAGCTCCTTTCTTACCGTTTCTCGGCCGTTCATCTGTCCCACTTTGGCCAGGCGGGACTCGGTCTTGGATCGCCTCTCCATCTCCTCCATGATTCCTTGGATATGGCCTCCGGAGATCCCGTGGAAAAGCATGGCTGGGGGGCGGAAAGGACAAGTATTTTCTTCTGCTCTGCACCCTACTATTTCCATATACAGACCCCAGAGTCTTTAGTTCATCCAAAATGTTTACACCAGGGCGCACAGCGCAGTGAGGGAGGTTGCAATTGAAGCTTCTCTTTGCACAAGCACCGAAGGCTTCCTGAAGATGTGCAGAAAACAAACAAGGGGGAGAAAATATAATAATAATTAATTTAAAAAATAAAATAATAAA